GATGTGGAGGGTGAAGGTAACAGTAGTCCCAGTGGTAATAGGAGGACTAGGTGCGGGGACTCCCAAGCTAAGTGAGTGGCGCCAGCAGATCCCAGGAACAACACCTGAGGTCCTAGGAACAGCTAAGATACTGTGCAGGACCCTCAAGCCTCCAGGCCTCTAATAGAGGGCTTGAAGGATAGACTGCCAACAGGGGTGAGAGGGGAATTTATATATATATATACATATACTTCATAGGGAGGCTAATGAAAATGTTCGTATTCCTAACATATACTATGAAATATAAATTGCAAATATATAGGTTTTTCATTTTTGTCTTCATGGTTATGCATACCCTCCACTATCCACCAGGTGGCACTACCTGTCATTGCTTCTCATTATGTTCAAATATAGTTTAAATGAAAATGAACCACTCTAGCAGTTAATTTGTTTATTGGGATTCTGTTTCAGTCATGTTGGCTTTGTTTGAATGGATCTCACCCTGAAAACAAAGTCTGTAAGTTTGTCAGTAATCCAAACTTTTTCTGTCAGTGTTTCCTTCATTTTGAGTCTTTTCACCTCACTGTCTCCTCTCTTGGAATTGCTGTCTTATTGTTGAGTTTTTACCTTGAAATATAAATCGCCCAGACTCTTGTGAATTTCTGTATAAATAGTCACCTTTCCAAATCTCTTATTTTTATTTAATCAACTGATTTAAAAAATAAAATAAAATAAAGAATAAAATATAATGAGTATGACTAGTCTTTCAGTTTTGATGTATTTGTGTTAAAATGAGTAATTGCAAGTGAAATCAGCTCCAAATGTAAAGCACAGCCACAGCATCTGCAGATGTGTGTGATGTGTAAGTAACATTTTTACAGTGTACATCCTTGCTTTATATCAGTGATTTACTTCATTTGGATACCATACACATACGTGGTGTGACAGCTTGTTGGCTACAGCTGACTGTGGCAGTACAGTATCAGTATCAGTCAAAGTTGCTATGCCCTTAACTCTAGCATTCAAAATGAATAAGATATTAGACAAAGATGTAGGCATATCTTTGTTTCCATATAGACAATGTTTTACAATTTTAAAATAGTCCCAATAATGTTGACTGTTTTTGTTTGCAAATGTCACATGCATCACGTTGACCACTGAAAAAGCACTGCTATACATTTTACATTTGTCTTTTTATTTATTTTTAGATTTGTGTAGAACAATGAACTCATTATATTGTTGTCTGTGGTTTGTAAAACCATCCATCACAACTGTAAGCATCTATTTTAGAGATTAAGAATAATAAATTAAAAAGAAAGACGCTTACAAGATAAGACACTATTTGCATGCATCACATCATGTGATCATAATAAACATGTACCACAATTAATGATTTCCTATTATCATCATATTTTTATTCAGTGAATATAGTGAATATAAATTGAGAATAAAATGTAACCAATGTTAGATAACTGTACAATGTACTGATGTGCCCCTTTTGTAAAAGATCTATGCAATCACTCTAACATTTTAATAATTGTTAGGTCTAAACTCCCAGCTTTCGCTGTCTCAGAAACCTGTCACTGCCAACAAACACACACTCAGAGCTCTTTTGGTTTTGTTGGCAATGGAACAGCGTCCTGGAGAGCAGTGTTGCCACTCGCCCATCCAAGCAACAACTTCAAACCTGACTTCCCTCTTTTGCTCTGTTTATCGACAGCAGTTATACACAGTTTGGGTAACCACATGACAGTTTTA